CACGGAGGTGCTGGGCCTCTTGGGTGTGGCTCCGTGGGGGGGGGCGGAGTACAGCGAGCGCTCTGTCCGATGAAGGTATCTTGTCTTCATCGGAGCATCAGCCCGACCTTCTCTGGTTTTCAGAATGGATGTTTTCAGGGAGATAGTATAATACTACTTAAAATCTGAAATGTGTGTGGCTCTTGACCAATCAAAAGAGGCCCCTGCTGACTACAGAGAGGAGGCAAGTAAGGCATTCTTTGCCCTTCAGAGGGCCAGTGGGTTTCCGGGTGACTGGGGAACCCAAGCCCCTAGGGAGAAGCATGCTGGCATGGGGAGGGGAGGCCTCTTCACCGGGGCAGAGCCAGCACACCTCTCTCCAGCCAGAACAGCCCTCCCCCAGCACATGACACATCCTACTCCCCGAGGTACTGAAGTGTGAACAAGCAACTTGGGTGCTGCTTGGGTTCTCTGATGAGGGCTATTTTCCTGCAGTGACACCCGTAGCCACAACATGTGTGCCACCTGATGCACTCAGGGGCCACCAGCTTGCCGCCTCAGATGTCGTACCCCAAAGGCTTTGAGGAGCTTGCGTTCTTTCTTGCACCCTCTCCCAGGAACCCTGCAAGGCTGACAAGAAGGGAAACCAGCTCTTGGAAAGCTTCCTTGGGCAGCGACAGCTCCGATGCCCACTCTTAGGCTCCGTGGTGCCCGATGAGAGCTGTACCTGGGCTGGAAAGAGCTTCCTACCTCCAGCCAGCGGCAAGGCCGGCAGAGCTACAAGGAGGACGGGGATTCACAACTCCACGGCTTCATTTATTTTCAGCATGTGACATCCCCAGGACTAGGGCTGGAAAACTCCTTAGAAAGGTGTGAATCTGCAAGGCATTAGTTGCAAACGCACGAATGCGGAGTGCACTCCCATGTGCGCCTGCGCACCCCAGTGAGCATGGGTCAGTCTGCTTCGCGTGTGGATCCATTTCCTGTAAGATGCTCCACATTCTGCCTTCCCTCCTTCGGCAGAGAGTCTTCCTCCTGAATCTTCTGCCTTTGGGTTTATGTCTTCCCAGTGTTTGTGTTTCCAGAGCTTGGATTCATTGCTGGGATATGACTTCTCGATTGAAATGAGCTTGATGATGTGATAGATTTCATTCTGTGCTTTTTATTCTCCATCTTACTTAGACTATTACCTCTGGGACAAATACTGTGTCTTTTTTGTCTCTTGCAGTCCCAAGAACACCACTGATGCTGAACAAATAAATAACCAGAGTTGTGAAATGGAGTTGAAAATTTATAGCACAGGCTCATCTATCAAAATTTGGACACCAGAGCACAGAGTCAATTATCACGTATTAACTTGCTCTTGGTGGTGTTTTAATGCATTTAGAAAAGATTCACTTTCTCTCCACTCACACAACCCACCAACCTGGAGCACTAGCAAAGTTGAGAACACTTTCGACAAAACCTAGCTTCACCTGGGACTACAAAGACTACTGGACACAGTGTGACTTCCATTCCTTGAAAAAAGCTGAAAGCATTGGATAGACAGTCTCACAAGTCCAGTATGGCATGTTAAATACAGTTCTACGTTTGGAGAAGCCTTGCCACACAGATTCTCTTATATGACTTCTACAGTGTTGGAGCGCAGGCCGGGCACCACCCCACTTCACCCTTGATCTAGCCAAAAGGCCAAGATGCGATAACCACCCCACTTTGAAGAGGATTACAGACAGGCAGAGGTGCAAAGCGACTTATATCAAAGCAAGAGGAAGGAAGGAAAAGAGGAAAGGCAGAATAGAAGAAAAAGGAAAGAAGGGAAGAGAGAGGCGGAAAAGAAGGTAGAAAGGAAGTCTGAAACTTTTCCTAGCAGTAAATCCCTCAGCCATATTTGGTAGTCACAGCAAGAACATAAATTAATAATTTTAGTCCAGTGGTGCTGACAGGAGTGCTGGCAGCGAAGTCACAGGATTGGCATGCTGGTGGTGATCCCTGCTTCACCTTTATGTAGTGAAGACTTTCTCCAGTGTATCCATCCCGTGTATCCATATCCACCCATTCCAGGACTGTGACCACGGGCTCATCTACGCACAGGCAGCTGAGGAGTGCCTTTCTCCAAGCAGCTGCACTAGGTCCTACTCGGCAGGCCCAGCTGTCGCCTTGGGGAGGAAAGTTGGCACAGGGAACCCAGGTCAAATGCATAGGACAAATAAGCATCAGAGGTCACAAGCAGGTACCGAATGGGAGGGAAGCCTGCAGCCCAGGACTGGGGTCTCTCCTGGAACTCAGGGCCTCAGAGAATCCTTCAAGGATTCTCCGAAATGGGCCTCAGTGGGACAAGGAAGTGCAGGCACTCTCTCCTTGTCCCTCAGGATGACACCTCCTCCCTGACTCCGTAACTCTGATAACTCTGCCTCCAGACGTCACATCGCATGCACACCTGGAAGGAAGTCTCGCCTGTGCACGCAGACAGTGATCCTGATGCCCCCCCCCATATCAATCTGGATTTAGGTCTTCTAGCCCAGGAGGTAGCACAGGGAACTGCATGTGGGCACAGCATCTTGATAACCTCACAAACTGCCACCTGCCGGGGAGACCACAGCCCACAGAGCGGGCTACAGGGCCCCTCTGCCTTGCCTGCTAGGGGCTACTGGCCTTCTGCTGGCATGCTGTGAACTGCAGGGGCAGTAGGCAGGACAAGAGACTGATATCGCCTACCGTCCCTCCCTCCTGGGGTTCAGAAAGGAGAGGAAAGCACGGGCTTGAGAATCCCGGAACCCCCTCCATTTCTTCACTTGGTGCGTATTACTTGAGTGATAATAAAGATTAAGCACACACACAGACAAGTGCTGGAGATTTCTGACACAGGCCCCAAGTGGGGCGGCATCAGCACGTACAGAAATGACAAGCCACAGCCGGAAGCCTGGACTCTGGGTATGCTGATTTTCAGCAGAAAGAAGCGCACACTGCACAGTGGCCTCCTGAGGGCTGTAGGCTGTGTCCTCAGCCTTCCTGGGCAGGTGATGGGGGTAGAAGTTCTGACCAGACCTCAGGGCTAATCTCCTTTTTAGCTGTGTAAAGAGGAAAGGGTGGTGGGGCGGGGGGTGGGGGATAGAGAGAGGAGTTGAGCTGTCAGTGTGCTTGATGTTAAATAAAACCTACCAAGACTCAGCTGAGAATTTTAGCAGAATCCAAATGTGCTAGGAAAAAAAAAAAAAAAAAAAAAGGCACGGCTTCCATCTCTAAGGTTCACAGCTAAGCTGGCTTAGAATCACACATGCCAAGGTTAAAAATAAGAAGCAGCCATCCCTGAATGACACAGAGTCTGGAAAGGAAGCCTGAGGTATGCTGATGGGTGGCGGAGGGAGGAGAAGGCAAGAAGGGGGAGCCGGGTTCAGAGCAGAGGTGTTTATTAGAGGCATATTATCTAAAAGCCAGATGCTCAGCATTCCGCTGTTTTGCATTTAAAAGGCACTCCACACTGGCAGGAGCTCTCATAATGATCCTCAGGTCTTCCATCGAGGAAACCCTGGCATGCGTTTGAGGATGGCCATGGCTGAGCGACTTGGGCTGGGTGCTGCTGTCCTGCCTCAGCCTTCCTCACCCTGGCACAGACTGTGTCCCCAACACCTAGAAGGGGTGCCTGTGAGTCGGAGCTCAGGAAGTATGGGGACCTTCAGCATAGGCACAGAGCCACACTTGCCACCATGGCCAGCCTGTTTCACTCATCAGACAGGATGGTCCATCACCACAGGCCAGCTACCCTCTGCTTGGCTCCTGCAGACAACATGTTTGTCCCCTGAGGACAGTACACGCCCCGAGTCCTTGCCCTCATAGTCGCAGCCACTGCAGGCCAGGGCTCCTGGCAAATCCAAGGCTCCCTGTTGTGGATCCAGAAGGGTCTTCTTTCTACTAAAATTATCCTTTGTCCAATATGCTTACGACCTGTGCTGTCTAAAAGGTTTGCTTATAGAAATAACAGAGTTGGCATCAGCTACTCTGCCAGCTACACTGCCTCCTCCCTGCATTTCTGTTAGTACTCAGGTGTTTCTAGAATTATCTTCAAGTCCAAGGGAAAGGTGACAATGCGGCGACCCCAGTGTCAGGAGAGACCCTGACCTGCCCATCTGTGGACGTATCCGAGGTATGCTTTGCTCCTGCACCTCACAGGGGCCAGGTGGGTACTGGAGAGTGGAACTTCCTCTTGACAGAAGTGCCAGTCTACGCCCAGGTGCCACCAGCCAGTGCAATGAAGGAGTCTCCACGTGACTCTGCTCGGTCCTCACCTGAGGTGCCCGCCTGTATGGCAAATTCCACATCAGGACGCCCAGTGCAAGGCGTCCTGGAGACGTCACCTTTAACGGGCTTTGCAAAAGCCTTGAGACCACTGTTTTCCTGCTCCTTGTGATGGATAAGGAGAGAGGCCGGGAGAGTTAAGGAACTTGCTGGAGCAAGGGACAGAGGAAGCCTTGAGCCTAGGGCTCTTTCAGTCACTCCAAGCCCATCAACGCGGAGGCAGGGCAGCTGGAGGGAGTCATCCCCGCACCTGAGCTTCCCTGGGGGCCTTTCTCATGCTGAGAAAGGGGCGGCCTTTCTTCCGTCTGAATTATGGGGACATTTCTCATACAGAGCTCCCCGCCACACACACGGGGGCTTCTCTCCTGACTTCCCCCTTCATCCTTGAGGTGCTCGGGAACGGGGAGATCTATCTGGGTTCAGGATAGGATCGTGGTCCGACAGCCCCGGGGCTGCCCTGCTCCACCCATCCTAAAAAGGCCGGACCCGAGCCAGCCCTCCAGCTGGAAATCTCGCTTCCTTCCGGAGACTCCAGGGGGGCGGGGAACGCCCTTTGCAGTTCCCGACGCCGCGTGCCCGGCTGGACGAACGCTGGAAGTTCTGGGTAAATACTTCTGGCGATGCCCACCCCCAACCCGCCGCCGAGCGCACAAGACCAACCCCGGGAGTCGAAAGCGCAGCGGACAGCTCGAGGCTGGAGCCGCCCGAGCGCTGCGCGCCCTCCTTACCTGTACCAGTCCAAGCCGCGGCCGTAGTTCCTGTCGAAGAAGTGGGGCTCCGTGCCCAAGGCCCGCACGTCCGGGTGCACGCGGATGAACTCCAGCACGGCCCGGGTGCCCCCCTTCTTCACGCCCACGATGAGCGCTTGGGGCAGCCTCTTGGTCCCCGGCTTCGGGGCCCCGGAATGGTTGGAGGCCGGGGCGCGGGGGCCGGGCGCGCTGGGTGGCGGCCCCGGGCGATCGCAGGGGCGGGACTTCGGGAGAAGTTTCTGGCCGCTCGCGCCCGGGCTGCGCAGGCAGCGGGGCGCCCCGAGCAGGCGGCTCCGGCCCAGGTCGTCGCAGCAGCACAGGAGGCTGTAGCACAGGTAAGTGCAGGAGAGCGAGAGCGTGAAGGCGAAGAGCAGCCTGCGCGCCCTCCGCGGCTGAGCTGGCCCCGCGCGGCCCCGGACCCTATAGGCCATGGCTCCCTGGGCCCGCGCCGGGGCTCATGGTTTCCGGGGGGCGCCTGCGGCCGAGCGGCGGGGGCCTGCGCGCCTAGCGGGCTCGCTCGGTGCTG